TTCCTGTGGGTTACTGCAACAGCTATTAGGCCAAGTCTAATTTCGCAGAAGGAAAGTTAATCAGTCAGTCTTGCACTACTCCCGTGCTTTAATGTCCCTCTAATCAGTAACAGCTGACTCAGTTGAAGAGAATGTCGTTATCTTTTCCGACGATTCATACAATTAAAGTTATTTTTCCTGCGAGCAGAAGACTGCGTTTTAATATTGACTAAAGCAGATAATAAATAACATAGATTTATATATTTATATAATCAGCTCTTATGTTTAAACATTAGGGATATTTTTCGGAAACTTAAATGTCATTTTCTTTACAGATTATATTATGATAAATGGAAACACGTATAAAATCTATTTGTCGCTAAATACGTTCATTAATTTTTATTCTATTAAATATCTACAAAGTATAAATAATTGCTTCAGTTTACACACGCATTAACAACTTAACACATAAGGCTTAAAGAGAATGCTACGCTATATATGTATAACCGTTGCTTATCGCTACTATTAATCCGAAACAGCTGTCAGCAGATATGTATTTATGTATAATAGTTACATATTTCAAATTTTTATATATGAATACACAGTCTAATCTCATATTTTCTGTTTCATAATTTTAAATATGATGACAAATTGCTCGTATATTTCTTTCGAAATCAGTTTTTCAAAAGCGGATATCAAGCTCTGAAAACTTTCTTTCACAAATTTAATATAAATATACGTTTACTTTTAACTCTCTAGTGCTTCCTCATAATTGTCTTATTAAATAGTTGAAGCAGACACGCAGAACGAAGTAATAACATTTGGCAAATGTAATTATTCATTAAGTAAAATGCTACTTTCACAGGCACAAGAATCGTAATTTTACGAATAATCTATGAGACACTTCACGGTAATAGACACCGTTGAAATCGAGACACGCCCGCGGGTTTCCAGACATTTTTATTACTACGTGTGAATTAGCGCTTTGCATTCATTCGAAACGATTTTTCGGCCGGCGCGGCGCCGCGCAATTCATCTCGCAAAAGGGTCAAAGAGGCAATTCCTCGAGCACGGAAAGGTCTTCGTGGCATAATTAAATCCGGGAAAATTTGCGAAGTCATACGATTTCTTCGCGTTCCGGCGAAGCGTAGTGAGAGAGGAGAGAGAAGGAGAAACTTTGGCACGCAGTAGATGAAATTTTCTGGCGTTTTGATCAAAGGACTCGGCCGAGAATTGCAATGTGCGGCGACTATGCGCTCTCGAAATGTCGATTCTAACGAGACTCTCTCCGTAATCGGGCTACGTGTTTCGAATTCGAAGAAAAAACGATTGCGCTTCCTACTATCGTCGGCTATGGTGCTATGTAAACTTTCTAAGGCAATTTACAGCCTAGAAAATTAAATTATTCTTCTACGCCGCTTATACTTCATGCAAAAAAGAAATATGTGTTGTATAGATTAGATATATTTGCGGATTAATATTTTCCAAGCTTAAGGCTGTAATCGTAAAAAAAATTTTTAAAAGAAAAGAATTCATCAATAATACTTAAAATATATAAGTCATAATATAATGTAATAAAAAATAACAGAGATATATATGCAAAGATAACAATTTTAGTTTTGATAAATATATATAAAAATTCGATATAAAATAAAATGGATTGCAAAGTTGTGATCAAAAAGATTAAAAAAAAAAAAAAAAGAAAAATGAACTATCCGAAAAAACTGTTGTTCCAATTAAATTTTACGCAATGTTTGCGCGGTACATCTTATATGTATTATCATAGAGGCAGCAACGAGAAATAGTTTTGATATTGCGACAAATTCAACGGTCTAAAAACGCTATTGACTGAAAAATCGAAACGATCCTCAGGTCTCGAGCCACCAGGCACAAGCTAAATATCTTTATACCCTCGACAAAAACAACAACAAACGATCAAGGCCTGTTCGTTATCTCTCGTGAAATCGAACTGTTGCGGTACATTCCGGCCGAGCCGAAATGGAAACTATTTTGCGTACAGCTCGGAGGAGGAAATACCCCAGTACCGCACAATGGTCTATTTTCACGATCGTTAAAGAGACGGAAAATTCTCAGGCTGTTTTCACAAGCTCTCCGCGCACAGCGCTCGGAGAGAGCCGGGGAATTTATTCTCGAACCGAGGTGTCTCGATGCGAGTGATGTCTCGATAAATTTTCGACAAAGCGATATACCGATACGACGGTGGTGTTGAAGCGCGCTTCGGAAACTCGGTCCCGATGTGGAGGAAAAAAAAATTACCATTTTATTCAATATCGCGTAAGGAACTCGCGGCTCTCTCGCGAGAACGGAGGCGCTTATCGGCGAACGACGCGACGCGACGCGATCGGAAAACGTTTGCTTACACACGAACATCGCCTTTCGTATCACTTTAATGGCATTCTTAATAGCCGTAGGAGAGTTCCGAAGTTGATGCAATCTCAATTTCCCGGTTCCTGCGCTTGATATATCAGTGATTTTCCACCTTTGCGTTATCGTCTGGAAAGTTCGCCGAGTCATGCGGCGGTTCCGGAGCGGTTGCTCTCGCCTAATAACCGTCTTCTGCCCAGTGCAAACTGGTCCCCGCATGCGATCCCCATTCTCATGCGTGTAAAATCAGACTTTATATATGAGATGTCTCACAATCGACGCGAAATAAATATCAAGGAAAATCATATATCAAAATTTAATCATATATTAAAATTTTCCCCAAATTTTAATAATATTTTAACATCTTTGTGTGACTAATTGTAAGATGTCTCTAATTAAAAATGATAGATAATATTTTATTTATTTCTTCTCTCTCTCTCTCTTTTTGTGTTTAGAGAATATAATTGGTCTTTTAAAAAATTTTTAATATTTTCAATAACATATCTTACAGAAGTTATTAGTACGATGATATTTTTATCAATTAAAATTCGTCCCGAGAGTCATCAAGTTTTGTAAGTAAAAACAATTCAGCAAAGCGGTTGCTCTCGCCTAATAACCGTCTTCTGCCCAGTGCAAACTGGTCCCCGCATGCGATCCCCGTCTCATGCGTGTAAAACCAGACTTTATATATGAGATGTCTCACAATCGACGCGAAATAAATATCAAGGAAAATCATATATCAAAATTTAATCATATATTAAAATTTTCCCCAAATTTTAATAATATTTTAACATCTTTGTGTGACTAATTGTAAGATGTCTCTAATTAAAAATGATAGATAATATTTTATTTATTTCTTCTCTCTCTCTCTCTTTTTGTGTTTAGAGAATATAATTGGTCTTTTAAAAAATTTTTAATATTTTCAATAACATATCTTACAGAAGTTATTAGTACGATGATATTTTTATCAATTAAAATTCGTCCCAAGAGTCATCAAGTTTTGTAAGTAAAAATAATTCAGCAAATTTGGAACAGCCTGTATACAGAGGCTAGCAAACTTTATAATATAATAATATGCTACCAGAGTTCTGTGATTGATTCATGATCGGTCCCGTTTTCCGCTCAAGGTTGTCCGTGCGAGATTCCTAATCGCAGTATTGATGCAATTTTCTAACGGAACAACATGCCTCTATCCGGCTATGAATATAGCTTTCAAATAATTACGTGTTATAAGAGAAGCGGAGCGAGATGAAGTGCATTTGAGATGCGTTGCTTCCTGCTAAATTAAACAGTTATGTACGTTTAGGATGCGTTTAACTTTATAATCTCTTATTTTATTCAAAAAGAAAAGTCCTTATAGCTACACAAATGATTATTGCATAATTATACTAATAATATAAAATAATTATGTTTTATTCATTAATGTGTAAGATCGATTATCTGTTACTTTAAAGTATATATATTCTTCCTTTACCAATACGTTATAAAATCGCTGTCTGATGGAATTGAATTCTCGTAAGAATGACAGCAATTTATATAGCTACTCATGGATCTTTGACACCTAATAGGCACACGTGGCTTTGATTTGATCCGCGAATAAAATGGAAATGACATTACAATCGACAACTTTTAATGAAGTTCAAGGATATCCTCGATTTTTCATATATCTTCAGCGCGCATATACTCGTTTCACTTCGGGAAACTACATCGCTCGTTACGTCTGCCGATATGTTTGTTCGTGTGTAACGTTGATCGCCTGCAGGATGCGGCGGTAGTGGCGTCGCATCCAGCTCCCTGACGGGACAACTGATGCGTTTCCAATACGGTTGCCTAACAGCGGTCCTCAATGCCGGTGAGACGAGATCATAGATCGCAAAGTATACCGGATAGCGATTACGTATTTTTTTTTCTTTTTTTACGGAAAGAACTATCTCTCTCTTCGATGTTAAATAAGTAAAATATACTGAAGATGTAAGAAAGATATTTATCTCATTTTACATGTTTTATCTAGATTTACAGTTAGTATCATGTGAGTCTCTTCCTCTCTCACTTATACCGTGTAATAAGAATATATTTTTTTTTTGCTTATATACATCATGCTTTTATTTCATCAGATACAACAACCTTTTAAAAACGTATTATATAAGAACACGTATCTGATGCATGTTCAGTTTTTCTATTTATAGCCTTACATCATGATGCTTCGATTATATGTAATTTAACATTATTTTTATATTGAGTAGTAAAAACATCAGCGTTATATTATGTAATAATATAAATTTATTTGATTTCACGCAAATAAAATGAATTAAGACAATACAATGTACAATGGTTTATAAAGAAAATTAGCATTTTACTTTCACAAACGCGGTTAAAAAAGAGGAATTTAAGGAACGTCTTTACAAAACCACGCTGTAACACGTCTTTTGTAATCCGGTTAACGAATAATTGAGGAAACTCTGTTTAGTAAAGAACGGCAAGTTCCGACCGCTGGGAAAACACGCTGCAAGAGTGAAGAAGAAAATTACAGGGATAAGGAGAACCGGTTATCCGCGCGAAACGAAGGGAGACGGTCAGTTTAGATCGCGCACTGCGCGAGTCCCTTTGCTTGGACATTTGAAAATTCAATGCGTTACCTTGTAAGTTCCGAGGTTTTCGATGACGCAGGGTAGACTGACATCTCTTCCCAGCGCCACTGTGACATTTGGTATCGGTTCGGCAAATATCGGCGGATCGGAGAGCGCTGCAACATAGAAAAAAGATGCCGTCAATTATACATGTTAACGGATAGCATAGCAACAATTAATATTTAATCATCTGGACAGTAGTTTTATCTACAGACCGACAAATCAGTTAAATCGCAATTAACTTTGATCGATACTCGTGAAAACATTCTTGCACTAATTAAATTCCGAGTTATTTCTATTGCCAGAATTAATTGTTTATTTGGAACAATCTCCCCTATTATTAGCCCGAAGCAGATTCAACGCAACATTCGATATCTTGCGTTTCATAATCATGCGAACCCGCATAATGACACACGGCGCGAAATAATTAACGGCCATCCAGCTGCCGTAAACAGTTTGAGTGATTAACTCGTCGACGTTTAAAAGAATATAAAAATATAACCGCGGGCGTCAATAAAACGATAATTATGTCTGATCGATTCCTGAGGGCGGGGGAGGAAATTCGCCGCGCTCGCGACCAATTCGTGAATTTTTCATTCTCGAACGGGAGGACTGTCCTGCCGAATTGCGCCGATAAACGAGATTCCAAGATAAATTAGGGAGAATCGATTTATTCGGGGCTCCACCATCGCGCGTCGCATCCCCGCGTGATATCACGCCGATACGAGCAAAACTTCGATTTTTTTTTCGGATTCTCGCAAACGAAATTAAATCACGACATTTTTTACTATGGTCGTCACAATGCATGTTCGCATTATTTGTATACAAGCGTCTGCGTGCACGAGACAAATTATTTTAATTACGTCAACTTGCAATTTTTACTGTCTCGTACAATTTTTTTATTTCATCGCAGCTTGATTATTTGATTTCCACAGAAAAAGATGTTTACATCAGCATTAAATGGACGGATTAATTATCTGCGGCCGAACGAATTAATATTGCGGATTTTTATACCGTAAGAAATGTAATTTCATTAATAGATCGTGTTTCGCAATTATGCAAACAAATGATTCTGAATAAATACGTATCTGAATGGAATGGGTATAAAAGGGAATGTGATGTATTTACAGTGCGTATAACTGTATGTTTCGTTAAAAGTCCAGAGCAATTTGATCATCGTTATAGTCACTATCAAAACGAAGCTCACTATTATACTTGATATTGCGCTCATGCGAACGATCGAGATAAAAATAGTCAATTCAAGTTATCCCGGCTACAGATATAATACATTTATTTCATATATCACGTTACTAATTCCGCTCGCAAACGTTGCGTATCGAATCTTACGCGATATTCATGAAATATTTCGAAACGCTTATTCCGCTCGTTTGCGTTTGAGTTTTTACGAATATACGCACACATACATATACTTGAAACGCGACCAATTATCATGCAGACAGGAACATCACGAAATTTGAGTTTAAATTTATACAGCGATGATATTCCCTTCCCCTCCACCGTTCACTTCGTTTAAAGCCGAACCAAAACGCATATATCGTTACAATCACGAGACTGAAAGTGTGCTTGTACAGAATATATTAAATGTAAAATATTTTTATCATTATTATTCCCGTTGTGCTGCCTGCGTTGGAATATTCAACCGACGCTATCGGATAATCCTTCATATTCTTTCACACTTTACATGCAATCGTAAAAACCGCAAGGTATTTGTATTTAAACGGCGTAGTCATCGGGACGCATTATATATGCGCCAAAATTTAAATAACGTCGCAAATCGTCTATGGCGAATGTCGGAAAAATTCACCGGCCGCTTGACAAACGTCACGCTCCTGATTTTTATTTTAACAAACGTCAATGTCTCGACACTTCGATATTCGTCAAAGGATATTTCGTTGGGCTCGTGAAAAAAAATCAAGCGATATTTATCATAAAATCATATGAAACATAGAATACACAAATAATATTTACAATATATAGTTTATAATGTGTAGTTTAATCTTGAACCTTTAAAAAACAGGGAGTCAACAGGGAGTCAAAGTGTCAACACAATATCAATACACACATACACACGCATAGAGCGTGCGCGGATACATATACAATATATATCGAAAATAAATTAACTTGAAAATGCTTTCAAACTTAATATTTAATAATCATTTTTCTTTCTTCCTTCTCTCTTTTTCAACGAGCTATTTTGAACGAATTAATGTAATAATTTAATATTACTTTTCCATAAACAAAGATAATATTCAAAAAATTATTGATATCGCATAATAAAACGATCGTTTACAATGTTCATGAAACATATGTTGTCTGATGACATGGAGAAAATCGAAGGTTCTGAAAGAAGAGGAACAAGAGAGATACGTGGGTGTCCGTGTCGATCGACTCTCGAAAAAAGTTTCGGAAGTGATGCACTCGAGAGTGAAGTAGGAGGGCAGTTGGCTGGCCGTTCGACCGGAAGAGGGCAGCCGTCAATTCCGGTCCGAGAGACTTTACGCTGACCGGAAGTCAATGCACACTCGCACACACGAACGCGACACGTACGACATTTCGGCGAAAACCCTGTCTCCCTTTTGACACTGAGTCTCGATTCCGTGCTCGTATTTCCCGAGAAACGATTCGCAAAACAGATATTTACTTTGATTCAATATCTCCAGTTTAAAATATCCTTTCCACATATAAAATATTATATTATGTTCATTCAAATCTAGTTTGTAATAAAATTATTAATTTATCATATCGGTTAAATAAAAAACATCTTTTCGACTTATAAAAAGATGTACTTAATAATAGTTCAGCATATTTCTAATCGGAATTATTAATATCAAAATTCTTAGTGTTGGATATATTATAAATTATATCATAGAATTATAAATTACGATACACAAAGCCTGTGTGCATTCAATATATACTAATATTATAAAACATTATCATAAAAAATTTTTATTATAATTAAATTTTTTATTAAAAAAGGAACTAATTATAAAATTAAATGAAAAAAGATTCTTTTTAAGAAAGCTGTATTATCAATTAAGAATTTATGTCGTCTAATTTACATCTTTTCGCCTTCTTTCTTCTACATTTCGTACATTTTTTTATATGCCAATTTTTTTCTATTTTCCAATCTAAAAAACAAATAAAGATTAGAAATCAATGAAAAGATTCGTACAATCAATTTGCGGAAAATTGTTATACATCGTGGCCGCCGTATTTTTTTCTTGATTAACGTTCTAGAGCGTGTAATGAAAGAAATTGATAAAAGAGTATAGAGTATTCTGGGAAAATATAACACAAACTATATCTCAGTGCGGATAGAGTTTTCGGAAACTTTACGCGTCTCCGGTAGCAGGATACGTCAACGACTAGTTTTATGGCACAGGGAAAAATTCCCGGGAGAACTTCCGAATGGGAGACTACAGTAAGATCGAGTTCCGAATTCAAATTATTATTTAGCCCCAGAAAGACAAATTACCCTGCTACCTTTCGGCATCAGAAAGGGTTAATACCACAAATGCGCTATATTATATGTGCTCGAGTAGTTTAAGCGACAAAATTAATTAAAGTAAACCAATCAAAAAGCTAACGCTGCGCGAACACTCGCGTACATCAACTAAAGCGTTGAAGTTCTACTTGTAATGTATTAAATATAGTAAATAAAGAACTTTTCAATTTCTTCCGAATGAAATAAATGGCAATAATAGTCTCGTAAAATGTATGAGTATCTTTTAGTCGATAAGGACTATGATTATGAATAATATAAATACTATGTAGTTAATGTCACTAAATGACTAAATGATAATTTATGTTAATAGCTTAGAAAATAACTCTTATTATTATGTTTATAACAAATAACAGAAAAAAATAATCACATATTTAACATTCAACTACGCATAATAGTTTTAACTAATGTTTAATACTTTAATACTTGAATATTAAAAATATTACTTTTTATTTTAATCAATCAATTATGCTATCGATTTCTCGTCTTTCAGTTATTAAGTATCTCTTTTATAAATCGCGCGCAGCATTTAAAGAAAAATGTTTTTTTTAATACTCCTCTCTGCTTTATCCGACACGTTATATGAAAACACGATCGTTCGGCTGAAGTTATAAAAAGCTTGAAGTTTATGATTGAAATGATATAAACATCAAACTTATACTACGCAAAGTTATTCTCAAAGCACTTTTCTCGAAGAAAATCTCGTAATCGTGAGCATTATAATTTTCAGAACATACAAATTTCAATTTCGATAATGACGCATCGATAAGATATAGAATTTCACAATAAACTCTATATACATTTATTCAACATTAAAGATTATTGTATATACATCGTTATTGCTCTTTTATATAAGTCGAAGAAATTTGAGATAAAAAAATATTTATATATATATAAGAAAATAATTCTCACCAAATTTTTTTTTCGAGAGAAGAGAAATCAGTATTACTGGTTTCTATATTGACATACATTTATATGTACATACAGGGTGTGTCGAAAGTCTGGATACACTCAAATATCTCGTAAACATTGCATTTTAGAGAAAAATATTTCAGACAAAAGTTGTAAGGCTTAAAAAGACACAATCAACGGTAATAGCTGTTTGACCGTGGATGGCGTTGCCAAGGTCAGATCAAGGTCAAATTGAATTTTTTAAATGGAATTGCCTACTTTTTATTGCATATTCTTGTAGCTTATCTTATGTCAGATTAAAATATAAAATAACTCAAAAAGTACTTAATGAAAAAATACTTTATTATAGTGTTTTGAAAAGCTCTCGAGATAAGCTACAAGAATATGCAATAAAAAGTAGGCAATTCCATTTAAAAAATTCAATTTGACCTTGATCTGACCTTGGCAACGCCATCCAAGGTCAAACAGCTATTACCGTTGATTGTGTCTTTTTAAGTCTTACAACTTTTGTCTGAAATATTTTTCTCTAAAATGCAATGTTTTCGAGATATTTGAGTGTATCCAGACTTTCGACACACCCTGTATAATAGAAAATTCATAATATTCACCAGCATGGAAATTGAATGACAAATAAAATTATATCGTAACATATACTATATAATAGTCTATATGTAAAGTAATTATAATTTTAGTATTTTTTAACCAAAATTTAGTAATTAATTAATCTGTATTAGTTTAATATTTGCAAACATATCCATATTTATTCTATAATAAGCCCAAAGCAGATTATTTTTTCACTACGCAGGACTGCTGCATATTATACCATGTATATAATTTGCACATTGCACATTCAAATATAATTCTTAATTATTTATTGGAATACATCCATCATCTTGATAAATTTTCTCATATATCAGATCAATATCCCTTTTTTTCGAAAGAAAATAGGCAGCAAAATAGGTATCTATATGTATAAATATATATCTCACATAAATGTGTATGTGTGTGAAATATTTTGTATTTATATATCTTTATCTAAGCTGAAAATTTTTAAGTATTACTTAATATAGTGCTAATTCCTACAATTCTACAGTGCGTTGATATATTATATGTGGCATTGTTATCGTATGTATTACAGCAGAATGCAGCATTTAAATAATAAAGAGAATAATCTTTAAGAGAAGAATATATAATTCCAACATAGATTTCAAAATATCTCTAATTTTTACACCCATTATTTTTTCGATGAAACTTGTAAGCAATTAATTATGTAATTAATTACAAATTTTCTATTAAAAAAGATAAATTAATCGCACTACTTTCCAATAATTTTTCCTGCGATGGATATAAAATATTCAATATAAATTTCATCTCTTCCAAACAATAATTCTTAAGTGCATAATATATTATTATGTTTTCGATATATAAATCTTAGCGCTTTTTGGCAGCATAATTTATATATTATTTCAACTGAATTTTTATATCGCTCATAACAATATTTTGCACTTTTCCGATAAAAACATAAATATCAAGTTTTAAAATATTTTCAAAAATAAACCTGATTGAATCGCATGTGCGATCCGTATCTTTTTACATATAAGAAGATGATATATCTTATTTATATTATAATATCATTCGACGTTACACATTTCAAATGAATATACATTCGTACAGTTGCCATGCAATGCCCATACATATATAAATTTGTATATTATTTGCATAATAATATCAGAGTATCTATTCCTATTCGATGTTAAGATATGCAAAGATAATCGCTGCCATCTATCGCCACATAAAGGCGCCACAAAAAGTCATAGAAGTCATAAAATATGCGGTAGTATATCACTCACACTC